TGCCTGCTAAAGGAAAAGTCTCTGTCCTCAGAACATTTGAACTTAATGATAAAATGGATCGAATGAAAACTTCAGTAAAGATCACACACATTTCAATAACATTAGATTGACTCAGCCCAGACACTAGTGGCCTAATAAAAGGGCATGTTCTCTTATGTTACTGCATCTTCTGTGATTTTTTTACACACAATATCTGGCATTCAATCAAAAATTATGAGGCACACACTGATTCGGATTCTGTGTCTCCCTCTCTCTCTGCCCCTCCCCCACTCAAGCTCTGTCTCTGTCTCAAAAGTAAAATAAACATTTAAAAAAAATTATGAGGCACACAATGAAGGGAGAAAATATTAACCACAGCCAAGAGAAGAAATAGTCAAAAGAAGCAGACCCAGAGATGATACAGCTGTTGTAATCATTAGGCACAATAATGACAAAAAAATATGTTAGAGGATCCAGTGGAAAATATGGACATGAAGAGATGGAGAATTTCAGGAAAAGAATGGAAATTATTTTTTAAACTATCTAAGACCTCTTTTTTAAATGTAGAGATGCTAAAAATAAAAAAAAAGGCATTAAAGATGGTTTAACATAAACAAGACATAGCAGAGTAAAGGGTCAGTAAACCAGAAGTCAGATCAATAGGAATTATCCAAACTGAAATACAAATTTTTTTAAAAGTGTAAAAAAACATGGGATGAGAGAGACAAGAGAAGCATTTGAAGAAAGAATGGATGAAAAATTTCTAAAACTGATGAAAGATATCAACCCACAGATCCAAGAAGTCTTAGCAAAACCTGAGCCTAAACAGAAAGAAAACTACACGTGGAAATGTCCTAGTTCAGCTGCTGAAAACAAAAACCAAAATATAAAATCAGATGGGAAAAAACTCACCCATTACATACCATAGGGGAATATGCTAAAAATAAAGGCTAACTTCTTATCAGAAACAAAAGAGGCCAGAAGACAATGGACCAATACCTTCAAACTTCTGATTTTAAAAACTGTCAAACTTGGAGTGCCTGGGTAGCTCAGTGGGTTGGGTGTCTGACTTAGGCTGAGGTCATGATCTCACAGTCTGTGGGTTCAAACCCCATGTCAGGCTCTGTGCTGACAGCTCAGAGTCTGGAGTCTGTGTCAGATTCTGTGTCTCCCTCTCTCTCTGCCCCCTCCCCCACTCACACTCTGTCTTTCTCCCTCCCAAAGATAAATAAACATTAAAAAAAAATTTTTTTAACTGTCAAACTAGAATTCTATAGCCAGTTAAAATATCTTCTCTCCTTTAAAAGTGAAGACAAAAGAATCATTTTCAAAAAAAGCAAAATCTAAGAACTTGTCACCAGCAGACTTGCATCAGAAAATACTAAAAGAAATACTTTAGACCAAAGAGAAATGATATACCTGGAAAAGATAAATAGTACTAGAAATGGTAAATATGTAAAGATAAATATAAAACTCCACTTAAAGTTATCTCTATTTTATACATGTATAAATGTATATGTTATTTCAGATTTTATATGTGTGCATATGTCTTACTTTAAAGTATCTTTGTTTCATGTATTTATACATGTTTGTGTTTCTTTTACATACTGTTGACAGCTTTAAAGTACTAACATTACTGGCTTTATAGCACTCACAGGTATATACCATATGGCAATAGATTTACAAAGTGTAAGAGACGTAAGTGGAATTATAATGTATTAGGCTTCCTACATTAGTTGTGAAGTACAGTATAACTATTCAGAGGTAGACTCTTATAGGGTAAACATGCATACCTAAGTTCTCAAGCTACTAAAAAGTACAAAGAAATATAGCCTAAATTTGTTACAGGAAATAAAATGGAATATTAAAAATATGCAGTTCACGTAAATGAAGGCTAGAAGGGGGAAAAGAGAAACAAAATGTATTAGATAAGCACAAAACAAAAACTAAGATCATACACTTAGACACAACAATATTGGGACAAATAGCAAAATTTGAATATGGACTGTTGTAACCACATTAAATTCACTGAAACTGATACCGTTATAGTTGACTCTTAAACAAAACAGAGGTTCGGGGTGCCAACCCCACTCCACTCCGGAGACACAGTTGGAAATTGGTGTATAACTTCCAACTCCCTCAAAACTTAACTACTAATCGCCTACTGTTGACCAGCACCCTTACAGGTAACAAATTAACACATATTTTGTATGTTATATGTATTCTATGCTGTACTCTTACAATAAAGTAAGCTAGAGAAAAGAAAATGTTATTAAGAAAACCATAAGGGAGAACAAATACATTTACAGTACTGTACTGTGAAAATAATCCATACGTAAGCAGACCCGTGCACCTCAAACCTGTGTTGTTCAAGGGTCAACTGTACCGTGTTAATATAAGAAAAGGTCTTTTGCTTAAGAATTAAATGCTGAGAGATGCATGAAAGATTCAGTGGGTTGAACAGCTGACTCTTGATTTTGGCTCAGGTCATGCATGATCCCAGGGTCGTGGGACTGAGCCCCATGTCTGGCTCCACACTGAGTGTGGAGCCTGCTTGAGATTCTCTCCTTCTCCCTGTCTCTCTCCCTGTCTCTCTCTGACACACATACACACAAAAGAATTAAATACGGAAAAATCTGGATATAAAAGGTGTGTTGTCTGCAACTTACTGTTTAATTGTCCAGGGAGAAGGAGGGGAAAGGGCAGCAATCGAAGGATTTTTTTATAGGTATAAAAGATTTCTTTACTTTTTTATATATATATAGGAAATTTGGCTTTATATTTTTTATATAGAAAAACAAGTCAAACTAAATAATGTATTATTTGGGAATGTATACATTTAAAAACCTTGAGGAAAAAGAGGCGTTAATAATGACTAAGCTCAGGTGGCGATTACCTCAGGGAGGGGCAGGGAGATGGAACAGAGCTAAACCTCAGAGGGTGTGAGTAGATCAAAAGCCCTGGTATCGATGTGGTTCTTCAGTTGAGTACTGGTTTCACAGGTACTCTTTTTACTATTTTATTTCAACACTTGCATATATGATACATACAATCGTCTGTATGGATATATTATTTAAAGAGAAGAACTGAGGAGAGAGAAGATCATCCAGTTTATAAAAATTAGTTTGATATGGGACCAACATTTATATTTGGTAAATTAGTAAAGAGTAAACAGTAAATTAGTAAAGAGTAAACAGTAAATTAGTAAAGAACTAAACAAAAGCATTAAGATGGTCCCCAACACTTACCTGAGCCAACTTTTTATCAGATCCAAATTCCCGGATACAACTAAATAGAAATATCTATTGTCCACCACCGCTTTCCCTTTCCTACCAACCTTAGCTACAAAAAAAAAAAAAAAAAAAATACATTTCCTTGAAACACTTAAATTCTCTTGCTAAGACATAGTAACTCTGCCATGAATAAATTATGTGCAACACTGCACTGCAAAGGAAAAATCTCCAGGTTATGTAGACATGGCCCATTAAGTAATTGACCATCATTACCTTATTACAGAAACCTACAGGCGTCCTTTCTGCATAACTGGGTATCACTTCCCACTAGCTGAGAGTCAACAGTCTCCTTATAAGAGTTTTATTAAATAAATTTAAGTATCAAAAGTCCAGAACCTATAAAATGTAAAATTATTCTAGGCATTAGGGGTAGCTGGGTAACAGTAACGTATACACATATATCTCAGAGTGCTTTATTTGCTTAAAGCATTTACTTAAAAAATAAAGAAAAACTAGAAAGAGGCCTTAGTTAGCCAGGTGAACATCTCAGCTCTGTCACTAGTTTTCTAAATAGCTAAGAAACCTTTCATTTCCTCTGCTTCAATTAATGTATTTAAAAAGGGATGAGACCTGATGCTAAATTCGGAAGAATTACACTTAATAATTGAAGTTTCTGAGGCAACTGTGTTCTGTAAGGCATTATTAATTAGAAATTTTAGTGTTTACAACTTTACAAGATGAAAAACTGAAGCATGAGGGAGTTCTTTTTCAGTGTTTCAATATTACCATTATTCCATAAACAACAAATACTTACCGAGAGCTTGCTACGTACCAGGTACTATTTTAGGTACTGAAGATAAAATACAACAGTGAACAAAACTAACGCATTCCCTATTCTCATGGAACTTACATGTGTTGAACTTGCACACCAACGAACGGATCGGTGCCCTCACGTCAAGAAGTCATTAATAAGGTTTTGATGCCACCTGAAATTCCCCTGGATCCAAAACTCTTGTGGATCATGTAGGTTATACAGTGTCCCTGACGACATCTACGTGGTCAGAGTAGCACCCTGAGGGTCATCTTCTACCGTCTACTATCAACCCCGTGGTGTTCCGCGAGGCACTGCATGGCCAGCATCCAGCCAGAAGACAGGACACGTTCCATATGCTTTCTGAGATGGCAGAAAACTTGATGCAGTTCTGAATAGGGCAGTTGAGAAAAGAGAGGGTCCTTATATGTTGTAATGGAAGCATCTTCCAGTAAATGATAAAGAATTTCCAATATATAAGGGAGAAATGAAAGGAAATAGCGCTTTTGTTTACGGGGGACAGTCCCCTGTTCCATCGTCAAAGCAAACATCACCCCAGTTCCACTGACTACCAATTATTCCTCAATTATTTCAGAGGGGATTAGCCAAAGAAAGAAGGAGGAGAAGGAGGAAAAAAGAAACAAAGGGAAGGAGAAAAGGAAAGAGAGAAGGAAGTCAGAAAGAAGACTATGGTGGCTTTAAAAAAAAATCACTAATGGACTTCAAGTGATGACAAACTTAAGAATGCTTCCACATCCCAAGTGTTTCAGCCCCAGCAACATCTCCAAACTGTCTGTGACCACAGCACAGAACTGGGAGACTGTCATGTCCAAGAGCTAAGCAGGCCTCCCCTCACCTCACCCGGCTGCCTGGTTCATCTGCTTCCTTCTGTCCCTGTGATCAGAGACTACAGGATATCAACAGTTCAGGACCAAAGCCTTTTTATTTTCAAAACTTCAAATGGAAACAAAGGCAGGTGTGTATGTATGTGGATGTCAGAGAAGAGACAGAGAAATGGATAACACTCAATGATCTTTTCAAATTGCAATTCTGCAGACGGGGATACAAGAATGAGGCTGTTGCTGTGAGTCTTAGATGAACCAGCTCCCTCAGTAACTGCAAGAAACAGTGACAAGTCTCGACAGCACTGCGACCAGCTTCCTCCCTCCCCTCTTGAATACGATGACAAAATGCTGTCATTCTCGAGCAATGCCTATCGGAACACAGGATGCCCCCAAACGCACAGCCTGGTCCTACTTGAAAATGAGCGCAGTTGCATCAGGTTACTTCTCGTAGCTTTCTTTACTGTCTTCACGGTTCAAAGACGGTAGCTCTGAAAATGGCAATGAAATCAGTCGCTGTTTCTTGGACGCTTCCTCTGTGCTCCTGCTCAGGTCTGGACAAGGGCGGTCCCCAGACATCTCTGCAAGAGTCCCACCCTGAAGAGGCAAGAGTGAGCCACTCTCCTGACTCATACAAAGGTCTTTATTTTAACTGCAAACTACACAGGTCTGCATTTTTTCAGCCCAATATGGTATCACTGTTATACTTGCTTATTAACCCACATACTCCCTCCTTCCAAGGCTCTCAGGAAAGGGAGTCCTTGGGAGGCTACTTCTAAGGTCTGCTCTAATAACAGGTACCATTCACTGAGTCCTTACTATGGATGAGACACTGTATTAAGTATACTTTGCCACTTAATCTTCACAACACTTTAAGGTAGGATTATTAATCCCATTTGACAGATTGGGAAACTGAGGCTTAGAAAAGTCCAATTATTTTCCCAGGGTCATACTTCTGGTTAGCATCTTAGGATTTGTCCTTTCAAAGTCCAGGGGCACCTGGGTGGCTCAGTCGGTTAGGTGTCCGACTTCGGCTCAGGTCATGATCTCGTGGTTCATGGGTCTAAGCCCTGCATTAGGTTCTGTGCTGGCAGCTCAAAGCCTGAAACCTGTTTCAGATTCTGTGTGTGTGTCTCTCTCTCTCTGCCCCTCCCCCGCTCATGCTCTGTCTCTCTGTCTCAAAAATAAATAAAAACTATCAAAAAAAAAAAAAAAGTCCAAACCTCTAAGCACTATTCTATACTTAGAGGAAGAGCAGCACAGTGGGTCAGAAAGGGCACTGGCTTTACTGTCAGAAGCTCCTGCCTCTAGTTACTGTATGACCCGGGGTGGTTATTTCACCTCCCCAGGCCTCTGTCACTTCCTCTTCAATGTGATAATAATCATTTCTACCCTGCCTTTTTCCCAGGGTCAGAGGCAGTATCAACACCTGTTGCTATGTTCCCATAACTCCCTTTCTCTCGGACGAACTTCCCTGTCGTCTGTTCAAGTTTAAGGACAGTTAGGGTAGGGAACAGTTGCAGGAAAAAGAGGTCTGAAGCTAAGTCACGTGTCTCCAAATTTTGTCCTTGCCTTTCGTAACTGTATGGGGAAACATGGACTCTAATGTTTGAACACGAATTCTACTCACATTATAGTTATCTAGACATGAACTTAAACTATATAGGCAAACACATAGTATACATTCAATAGATAACTAAAGGAAGGGCAGAAGGAAGGCAGGCAGTGAGCAGACAAAACTGGCATTTTCTCTTGATCTCTTTTAGGCTGTTGCCATTTCATATCCTATGTATGGAACTAATTGTTTCTCCAAGTCTATCAAATTAATTTGGCCAAAGTTATTTAATTTCACTTTGTCATTAGCAATGATAAAGAACTTAAAAGCAACACAGTGACAAATATTCTTAGCCAAACCATAATATTCTATAGTTTGAACAGCCCTATGACTTTTCCCAACTGGGGCATCATCCTAGGATTGGCCTATTTTCTTGAAATTTCCAATTGCCTAGTTGAAGCAACACTCAGGAAGACCAACACACACAGAGCTTATCGAAAAATGAAGTTACCAGTAGGAGCTAATAAAATCCCAGCACGCACGTTTATTCCTACAGCCGCTGGTTAACACAAATGCTGAGAGCAGAGAAAGATCCCTGACGACCTACTAGCGACGACTTTGGGGACCTTGGAAGAGGACACACACAGGGCTCCAGAAGGGATGGTTTGCTTACAAGCAATGTTTGAATGAAGAAAAGAAACGCAAGTATAACTAGAGGGGATCTCTAACCAGACAGTGGGGATTTGGGTGCACACAGAAAATGAAACGTTCATCATCCTGCATGAAACACACCTGTGGCTGAGCTCACAAAATTAACCCATTTTCCCTGCTTTTTTTAAAATGCCAATAGTTCAAAACTTTAGCGTTAGGAACATCGTGAATACTCTTAATCTAGAAGACCATCTGAAATGACAGCCACCGTTAGAAGGATGGCATTTGCGTTCAACCACGTGTCATCATTTCAGTGCCTGAAACTGTTATGACTCAGACTCAGGTCTGTTAGGATGAGCTGCTGGCTCTGGAAAGGGACAAGGGGAAGAACAGAGGAGGAAAAGAGCATTTCGCCTGCTGTTCCCAAAGCCTTTTCACACCCGCCCCCTCCCGTCCCCAAGCCCCCCAAAGGGCTCCACCCTCATTGCAAAACTGCCCAAAAGTTAAACTTCCAGGAGAGAAGTGGAGGGGCTGTGTGTAAGGACTGGCGGAGGTGAGTGGCTTACCTCTGCGATCTCTCTCCTCACCTGTTCTAACAATCCTGCTATAACTGCTCACCACAGCACAATGTTGAGGCACAAAATGCTTCCCATCAGAGTCAGAGGGCTTTACATGAAAAGTATCACATTGTCAAGAGATCATTCATTTCTGATTGACTTAGCATTTGGAATACCAAACACTGGGCACAAAACCAGAGCCTATTAATACTCATCAGAGACAAAAAGTAAATAAACACAAAGGTTTAATTAACCCTAGGCAACAGAAGAAGATGGAGACTGAACGCGTATCATGCCCCATAATAGGCAGGATTCCAGAAGAACAAAGAACTCCCAATAGCTGTATTGCTTTTTTTTTTTTTTTTTTAGAGGGGATGGGAGTGTAGCTATAACTTTTATTGAGCAAAGGATACCGGGAATTACATAAGAAGCTGCATTGCCAATGTTGGACCCAATAAGAGCAATTGAAATTGATTCTGGAATGTGGTTAAAGTACTTTATCTAATCTATTAATAAATAAGATCTTTCATTAGTTGGCAGAGGGACAGCTGCCACTGGCCAACTTGATTTTCCTGAAAACGGCGGAGACTTGCATACGCTTTTTTGTTTTCAGATCAAAGCCCTAAAATCCCAAAGAGCTGTTTCTGGAATCAGAAGTTACCACGAACGGTCATACTTTTCCTGAACAGGCTGAAAGTCTCCTTTCACCTGTTCCCCAACATTATGAAGGGAGGAGAAAGTGTTCGTTTGCAACATTTTTTTTTAATGGAAACTTTTTTAAAGGCGAAGAGTTTGGAAACCTCACGGTAAATCAGAAATTGTTGACCAAGGGTGCCCATCTAAGGAGAATGAAAAAGGAAACTGCCCCTCCAGGCCACACAGGGTGGCGTTCGCTCCGAAACCTGAAATAACCAAGATTCTTCACTATTCAGCGAAGGCACCTGGAAGATTCGGTTAATAAGCTGAACAAGATGCCCTATAGCTTGTGAGCAGGAAAGGGAGTCAATTCTATTTACCGCCGCCTGAGAAATCGGCCTCATCCTCGCTTGCACAGAAAGCTACAGCGGGGCTGGCTCGCTGGTCTCCAAACTCTGTAAGAACCCAGAATCGGTGCCCTGCGAGGTGCCACCCGACCCGCGCACGCCGCAAGGCCGGCACACCCTCCAAGCGGCCCCTCTCCCCTCCGTCCTCCCAGAGCCCGACCCAGGGCTGCCCTGTCTCGGGGGACCAAAGAGCCCCAGACCTTTGAGGAAAAAAAAAAAGAAAAAAGAGGGAGAAGCGGGTTTGCATTATATAACAAGGTGCAGCAAATAAGGCTTCTGGAAAACGAAAGTAGCGAGGGGAGGGGCAGGGGTCGGGGAGAGGCGAGGCGAGCCGGGCGTCGCGCGGCTTTCGCCGCCACTTACTCGAAGGCGAAGAAGAGTCCGCTGGTGACCAGGATGAGGATGAGAGTCAGGTAGAAGACGCCCGTCTGCCGGGCCATCATGATCCTGCCGTTGCAGAAGAACTTGTTTCTTCCCGGGAAAACCTCCCATTTCCTCCGCGCCGCGATCTTCTTCTTCTTGTGGGGCGACTCCATGGGGGAGGAGCTGTGGGTGCTGATCTGACTGTACTCGCAGTCTTTCATGGGCCCGCCGCCGCCGGGAGGCATCCACGAGGGCAGCCGGCGGGGGGCGCACGCCCCCAGGAGCCCCCCGGCCGCGCGGGCCCCGCCGAGCCACGACCGCCGCCGGCCGCCCGGCCGCCCCCCGAGCCGCCGCGCCGCGGCCCCTACGCCGGCTCCCGGCTCGGCGACAACTTTGCCGAAGACACCCAGGTTAACCCTTGCGGGAGCCCAGCTGTCATAGCCGGGTCCCCCTCCGGGAGGGACGGTGCCGGCCCGCAGCCCGCGGCGGCGGTCCTCGCTCGCTTCCAGCCCGCGTGCCGGGGCTCCGGGGCCCCGCGGGGCGCGGGGGGCCGCCCGGCCGGCCCCCGGCTCGCCGCGCGCCCGCCCCCTCGCACGGCCGCTCGCCCGGCCCCGCCGCCCCCGGCCCGCCGGCCGCGCCTCGGCTCCGGCCCGCCGACCCCCGAGCGCTGCGCCCCGAGGGGACACGAGGCGGCGGCCCCGGCTTCCTCGCGAGCCACTTGGGCGCCTCGGCCAGGTTTATTCTAATCCTTCCTCCCGGCGGCGGATCCTCCCCAGGAGAGAAGCGATGGAAACTGGGAGGCAGCTCGCGGCACCGGCAACCCCTCCCAGGGGTGGGGAAACCGAGCACGTTATTCTGTCAGGAGCGGGCTCGGCGACAGCCGGGGCTCCGCTCGCGCTGCGACCCCGCGCCCGCGCGCCTGGCAGCCGAGCCCAGACCGCGGCCCCCGCGCGGGGCTGCCGGGGCCGCCCGGGCCGAGGGTCGCGGCGGCGGCGGCGGCTCGTGGGCGGCACGGCCGGCGGCTCCCTGGCTCCCTCCTGCCCCATAGGGGCCGGGCCGGGCGCAGGGAGGGCCGCCGGGGGTGGCGGAGCGCGTCTCGGGGCCGCGGGGCGAGCGCCACAGACACTTGTTTGCAAGGCTCAGCACCGGCGCGCGCGCGGCGCTCGCAGCGGGTCCGCCTCCTCCCGGCCGGGTGGGCGGCGGCCCGCGCCTCGCCAGCCGGGCTCCTCCTCCGGCTCCTCCTTCTCGCCCGCGAAGCCCCGCACGGACTCCGCCGGGGCCCCCGCCCGGGTCCCCTCGGCCCCGGGGAAGGCGCTGGGCTCCCTCCCGCCTCGCTCGCAGGCGGCTCGGGTCGGTGCCCGCGGCCGTGCACTCGCCTGCAGACTCCGGCTCCTCCGGGCTTATTCCCGGCCGCAGCTGCCGCCTCCACACACACACGTTCACACGGCTCCACGCAAACCCATTCTTGCGACTCCAGGGGACCTGAGGAACCCGCGCGGAGAGGTGACCCTCCCCGGCCTCCCCCCCACCCCCGCCCAGGCAGGGCGCGCGGTAGACTTGCGGGGTGCAGCTCCACTGCTGCCCGGGAGTGGGCGGGGGTGGGGGGGACGGGACGAGGCAGGCCCGACTACGGGATGGGGGCTGCGGGCGGGGGGCCTCGGGGCCCCGCCAGCGTCCAGGTTTCCCGCGGGAAGAGCGGAGCGGTCTGGGTCCGGGGGGACAAGCCCGTGGCGGTCAGGCTGTGCGGGGGTGGCTGCCTCCCCAGCCCTCTCTCTCTCTCTCACTTCTCCGACACGCGCGCTCGCGATTTACTCGCTTTTATTTCTCTCCTTTCCCCTGCGAGCTCGCGCGGCAGTAGAGGGACCCGCCGCTCCTCTCTCCGGCCCGCGCCCCCCCGCCCGCTGCGCCCCACAGTCCCGGTCGCCCGGCCCGTGACCTCGAGCCCTCCCTGGCTGTGCCGCGGGGTCGCAGCCCTCGCGTGGGGGGCACAACCAGTGGACAGCGGAAAGCGCAGGCAGCCGGGCGGGGACGTTCGGTTTTCCGAGCCCCACTTTCCTTTCCTTTCACCGCCCACTGGGATGTGTAGTTCTTCCTCGGCCGACTGGCTCCGAGAGGAAATACGACCTGGGGCCCAAAAAACTACAAATCCCTGCATCCCCCGCGACGAGAGCGGGAGAGGCGCGGTGCTGGGCGTTCTGGTGTTCGGACGCCGGCGATGGAACTAACAAAGGCAGTGGTGCGGCGCCTCTGTGCCTGCTCCGTGCCGGGCACGGCCCACGTCACACATGTTCTTTATCCAGTCTTCGCTGGAACCCTGCGAGGCACTATTGTATCCAGCTTAGAAAACGCTGGGCTACTTGCCAGAGAGCTCAAAGCGCCCTGGAGGCGGCGATTAGATTGAACCCTGAGCCCCGAGAATCTCCCTTACAAAGCGCCGCTTCCGTGAGCGGTGTCAAAGGTAGATGATATCGGCTTATCTAAGAAAGAAAAAGAACTGAAGCCAGTTGGAAAGAGCTTCCCTGGAGTAAAGGAAAGGTGGTAGGGATGGCAGTTACAGTATGACATGACGTTATAAGGAATTAGGAATAAAAAATGGAATTTATAAGGGTCCATTCCAGAACAGGTTAGGGGAACGGGTCAGATCTTAAGCCTACAATTTGAATTGGGGTTGAATGATTTTAGATTTTGTATGACAGACTAGCATAAAGTACTTTGTGGCTGCGCTGTAAAAAAAAAAATTGTCAAGGCTTAGACATTTCAAGTGAATGCTCTCATATACTTACCTGTTCTTTAGCTCATTGGATCAAGGGGATGTTATTCTTACTCAATTTCTAGCAAGTACCTTTTCTCCTCCTGCCCAATTAATATACTAGATCCACTGACTTCCTGGCTTTAAAAAGACTCCCCTTTCGGTTCTCACTGACACCCTAATTTTTCTGGCATAATGGTAATGCTTTTAAGTCCTTCTCTGTTAGAGATGCATACTAAAGTATTTGCATGTGAATAGGAAAATATATTTGCAAATGACAATCAGATAAAGGGTTAGCATCCAAAAATCTATAAAGAACTTACCAAACTCAACACCCAAAAAACAAATAATCCAGTGAAGAAATGGGCAGAAGACATGAATAGACACTTTACCAAAAAACACATCCAGATGGCCAATAGACACACAGAACGATGCTCAACGTCACTCATTATCAGGCAAATACAAATCAAAACCACACTGAGATACCACCACACACCGGTCAGAGTGGCTAAAAATGAACAACTCCGGAAACGACAGATGCTGGTGAGGATGTGGAGAAACGGGAACCCTCTTGCACTGTTGGGGAATGCAAACTGGTGCAGCCCCTCTGAAAAACTGTGGAGATTCCTCAGAAAACTAAAAATAGAACTACCCAATGACCCAGCTATAGCACTGCTTGGAATTTATCCAGAATTCCTTTTCAGTTACAGGAGTGCTGATGCATAGGGGCATATGTACCCCAATGTTTATAGCAGCGCTTTCAACAATAGCCAAATTATGGAAAGATCCTAAATGTCCATCAACTGATGAATGGATAAAGAAGATGTGGTTATATATACAATGGAATACTACTTGGCAATGAGAAAGAATGAAATCCTGCCACTTCAAGCAACGTGGATGGAAATGGAAGGTATTATGCTGAGTGAAATAAGTCAGGCAGAGAAGGACAGACATCATATGTTTTCACTCATACGTGGAACTTGAGAAACGTAACAAGACCACGGGGGAAGGGAAAGAGAAAAAAATAGTTACAGACAGAGAGGAGGGAGGGAAAGCATAAAAGACTCTTAAATACAGAGAACAAACTGCGGGTTGATGGGGCTGGGGGAGAAGGGGAAAATGGGGGATGGGCGCTGAGGAGGGCACTTGCTGGGATGAGCACTGGGGTGTATGTGAGAGATGAACCACAGGAATCTACCCCCCAAACTAAAAGCACACTGTACATGCTGTATGTTAGCCAATTTGACGATAAATTATATTTTTAAAATAATTAAAAATAAAAATAATAATAAAATACTCCAGGCCATCCCTCCCCCAAACTATGATGGGGTAGATGAAACAATACTGGCAAACTATTGAAAATTGCTTACATTAGGTGATATCTCTGAATTAGTTACGTATTGCAGCACATTACCACAAATTTGTCAGCTTAAAACAACACCAGTTTATTATCTCGCAGTGTTTATGGGTCAGGTGTCCAGGCACGTAGGATCCCCTGCTTAGGGTCTTACACGTACCATCCAGGCGTTGGTGAGGCTGTGTTTTATCTGGAGGCTCAACTGGAAAAGCTTCAGCTCCCTTGCTCACTCAGGTCTCTGTAGAATTTATTTCCTGGCAGCTGTAGACCTGAAGACCCTGGCTTTTTGCTAGATGTCAACTGGAGACTGCCCACATCTCCTAGAGGGCACCTGGAGTTCATTGTCACATGCCCTTCCCCAGCATGGCCGCTTGCTTTATCAAGCCAGCAAGGAGAGTCCCCTCAAGGACTGAGTTAGTTAGCAAGACGGAATCTTATATAACGTAAGTAATCACAAAGGGGTGACATCGAGCGGCAATATTTTGCTTAGAAAGCAAGCCACAGGTTTTCTACACACTCAGGGGAGATTACACAAGGTATGGGCACCAGGATGAGGGGCCCACACCGAGGGTGCACCACAGGGCACAAGAGAGTCCATGTTCCATTATGTTTATCTTCTCTACATCTGCTTATGTTTATGTTTGAAATTTTCCATAATTAAAAGAAATAAATTACTTGTTTTTAAATTATATCTAGGGGAGCCTGGGTGGCTCAGTCGGTTAAGCATCTAACTTCCGCTCAGGTCATGATCTCACGGTTCATGGGTTCGAGCCCCGCATCAGGCTCCATGCTGGCAGCTCAGAGCCTGGAGCCTGCTTCAGATTCTGTGTCTCCACTCTCTCTGCCCCTCCCCTACTCTCTGTCTCCCTCAAAAATAAACGTTTTTTTTTTTTTAATTTAATAAGTTATATCTAAATTTCCCATTACAAATAAGTTTCTAGGGAAGCTGGTTTGATTGTTTGCATAGTCTTCCTAGGACTTCCTTGTTTCTTCCCACTGCATGTTTACTTAGACGTATGACAATTGGTCCACTTAGGATACATGATTCACTTAGGATACGTATCTAAAGAAGTTCACTAGAACCTGGCATGATGGCCACAGATTTTAGCTCACCATCTAAATGCTCTAAATTATGGTAGAGTTTACTCATTCATTCATTCATTCATTTTACAATTGTTTACCGAGGGGCCTTGTTTGTCCCAGATCTGTTTTAAGTACTATTTTAGTGGCACAAGGCTATAAAAGGAACCAAAATAGACGTTTATATTGGACAACTAGAGGCTGAGCTGGGGAGAACAAGCAATAAATGCAAATAAAATGCAAACAAAGCAAATACTAAATGATAAGATCATTTCAGAGTGCAATTACAAGGGGAGAAAAGCAAGGTTGTGGGATAGAGCCGGGAGAGGAGACCTTTGAGCAGAGAACCAAGTGATGAGAAACAGCAAGTCCAAGGGCCTCAAGCCTGGAAAAGTCTTTTGGGTACAAAGGAAAGACCGTCTGGCTGGAACAGAGTTAGGGAAAGGTGAGTGTTAAGAGGGAAGGCTGTGGGGTTACAGGATCAGTAAGGTGACTGGAATGAATTCTGCATGCACTAGGAAGGCACTTAATCTGTGACTACCATTGTATTAAGTCCTGATGGGTCAGAAGAGTAACCTAGAGTTATTGGCCTTTGAGGAATAATACCTAGATTCCAAAGTGAAATGCTAGAAGGATCTCGGTGCATCTAGAAGTATAGACCTAAACATTTGTTTTGCATATGAGAAAACTGAGGCCAAGGAAAGGAATGACCTGCTAAAAATTCCTTGAGAATGCTTTACAATAACAAATAATCCGTAAACAAATCCCCAAATTGAAAGAGTGCATTCTTTGATTTAAAGCCTTAGAAAAGTGATAACAAATCATTATTTAGTGTTTTTTATGTGCAAGACAGTATGATAAATACATTGAACGTGGCAGAGAAACTACAGTCTAGTTTGGGAAACAAGATGGAGACACACAGAAAGTAAATAATGAAAGAAAATGGTGCAAACAAAAATAACTATCTTTTCTGGAGTGTCACCTGGTATTAAGCAATATCCTGGTTTGTTATTTAGCTCATGAGACCCAGAGGACAAACCAATGAGGTAAGCAATCTTATCAGTATTTCAGGGGAGAGTAAACAAGCTCAGAAACTTTGGGTGATGTGGGTTTCCCAGCTGGTAAGGATTCTTCAGCCAGGCATGTATGTGTGATTCCAGTTCTTTCTACTCCAGCCAGCTGCACAATAGAAAGAGTATGCTGCGTGTGACTAGCTGCCAACGGAGTAAACTTTGCTCAAAGTGGAGCCGGAGGCTGTGGCAGTTTAGGTAGGCAAAGCCAAGGGGGCCAGGATCCCAGGGCAATGGAGTGGTAGGG